TATTTAACTGTACTAATATTTCACTAATTTTTAATATATTGCAGTCAGCAGAAGGGGCAAACGGGACACTCATCTCAAGGATCGAGTGAGATACGTAACTTTACACCCTCGACCGTGGGATGCTTTGTCTTTTTGTATTGATGCAATAATATATTCTATAATCTACTTGTAAAAAACCTCCAAAAATTAAAGAAGTAAATAAAAATTTATTGATGTAAATATTCGTCTCAAGTTTTGCCCCCCCCCCCCGAAANCACTAAGAAGGGATTTTTCGAAATTCCCCCGCGGGGGGAGAGAGAGAACATTAAGTCTTAACCGGAAAAACGGCTTCTACTCTACTATTTTAGATGCGATTTTTTCTTTTTAATTACGTTTAGTCTCCACTGAGTACTTGGGGGTATTAAATTTATAACATTTCAGACATTTTTATAAATATTTTTTATATATTTCGATTTTTTAACCAAATGTTCGAACCGTTTTAAATTAGAATTTCTTTCTGCTTATTGGTTCGATTATAAAACGATTGTAAACGTTCCAGAAAATTTATCAAATTAAAAACAGTTCGTTTGATTCTCAGCAACTCTCATCATTCTCAGCAACTCTCATCATTCTCAGCAGAAGGTGTTAAATAACAATTACTATGGTTGTTGAAATATTGAATGTAAATAGGGTTCGCTTGCAAAATCCGCGCGAGCGAAGCCGCGGGTAAAAGCTAGTATAATATATAATCATAAAGTATTAAGAAAACTAACTTCCTATTTATGAAAACAATGCAGGAAACTTTATTAAAACATATATTTTATTGTATACATTCTAAATTGTTTTGTTGACTTTCTAATTTTTATAAGTACTAATTTAACACAACAACATAATTTTGTATAAAATAACAAAATTAATACATGTTTGTCTTCATAACTGTTATTAAGTTATAAGGGATATTAAAACATATATTTTATATATTTGTTTCCTCGTTCTTGTGACAATTTTCACTAGCTACAGTTGGAATTGTTCCTAAACAAACATAATTTGATATGAACCATGTTCAATGGGATTAAATCATAGTTCAAGGCCAGTTCACGGTTCTTAAAAACTCGCATGTCTTATGTTCGATTAAGCATTTATGTTAAGAAACATGCATTTATTTATATAAAACTGACGTTTCGGGTTAATTTTCTTGTATTTATTTAGATCTCCTCTTTTCCTAACTTTTCCCCATCCTCACCCCTACTTCCTCCTCTCCCTCTCACCTCTACTCTTCACCAAGGCAATATCTTTTGGTAAGCTTTACTATTCAATCACTGTATCACTGTATTTATTTAGAAAAACTTACTGAAAATCACAGGTATTCCGATATTCCGATTGTTTTTGGTGTCTACAACTTACTCATTTGTATAAATGAATTATAATCACGCTAATTTATGTATTAAAGTTAAAATTAAAATAACATCCCCGAACTTCTATGTTATTGAAAGTAAGGAATTTCTCCCGTTTGCTCTGCTTTTCTTTAATCTTCAGTTACCTAAAGAATTTGACTTGATTCCTAGAGTAATAGATTGAAAGAAAGTGCCGCTTTCTTCTTTTTTTCATTCTACACTCGAAGAACAGTGAAAATAGTAGAAACTCAGAATTCCAATGGAATGTTAATTGCGAAAGGAAGAACGGTGCAATCATTCAAACATGAATGGGGTTCTGTGTATTGATGGAAATAAAGTAAAATCGAAAGAATGAAACTAGACTAAGGTTACTATTCAAATATGGATTACTTGAGATGTTTGAAAGACGTGAAAAAAACCAAGAAGTTGAATTACATTTGTAGTAGAGAAGTATATTTCCGAATACTTTCTGGTTTTTGATGGATAAAATTTACAAACGATTGCTGCAACAGACAAGAATAAAATATAAAAATTTCGAGGGATATGCTTAAAAAATTCTTTCTTACTAACTTACATATGTACAACTTCTTAAATCACTACAAATATTAATTATAACTTTTAAAATATTTTTAAAAAGTTATTTTTATTAATCTTTTTCAAATTAAATTAACTTATACTTAAATTGTACGAAAATAATTAAAATATAGGCCTACAATTATATTTTTTATGTTTTTAAGTGTCCTGTTTACTCGTTTGATTCAAATTAATTAACGAACTTTAGCACGTCGTGAATTTTATTTTTCGAATTTTAATGCATCGGTAATTTAAATAGATTCTAATGAAAATGGCCAGATATTTTTTAATTATTAGGTACCTTTTATGTTACAACTTTTTAATTTTGAATTCTGGGAATATTTTCATTCTGAACTCTTATAAAATACGTTCTAGAGTCAATATTCCCTCAAGAAAACATTCACTTATTTGAAAACAGAGCAAATTCTTTTAATAAAAGAACCAGATTTAACTACAGCAAAGAAAAGATGCTCAACAAATATTTTAATAAATTGTTTAAAATTCTGAATTTTTATTTTAAATTTTTACATAATGAAGATACCTCCAGGAAGCATTTGTCTGCTTGAAAACACAGAACATTCGTCTAATAAAACAATTATGTTTAAGTATAACAAAAGAAAATAAATTCGGAAATGAGTTGCGTAACTTTCCCGACAAAAAAGTTTAAAATTATGGTAGCGCCACCTTTTTTTTATATCTCATTAAAATATTTTTTTATATTATAAATTATTTTAAAATGAAAAAAACGCTTAATTTTGAGAGTAGGGATAAGTTTTACTTTTTAAAAAATGTAAACGGTAATAACGAGTAAAATCTTCATTAAGTCTCTTTAGGTATGACATTTGACCCCCCTCTATTTCCCAACCCCTCCATCTTTAACCACGAAAATTTAACAGCATCAATATCCCCAATACACATATCTCCCTGCAAAATTTCAGAAATTTTGGACAAAAGGCACAGGAGTTATTAAGCTTCAAATTGGGCGAATAAAATCGTGTCCCCCACACATAGCATCCATATATATGGATAAAAAGCCTAATTTTTGCATTTCTCGACGTTTCAGGGTTTTCTGAGTCCAAAATAAAACTCTTGGAGGTCACTTTTGACCGATCGCCCTACTTTCTCTATATTTTATNCTCTTCAATCCATTTAACGGATTGAATCCTCGATGTATAAAGATGAAAAAATCTCTTCTATTTCTGGCAAAATCCTGTTGCTAAGAATCTTTTGATGACTGCATCCAGAAGTGACATTCTTTGGGAATTTATATATGTGTACAGTTCTATCCAGAAGCAGTTGTAAATTAGGTGCTTGTGTATGTGTAAATATATACACGTAGTTTGCAATTGCTTCTTTCCGTAGTTAAATAGATACTTATTTTATAAGGTATGTAACATTACATAAGAGACGATTACTAAAAAGCTTCATTAGACCCTTCGTTCAATAAAATAAAAATAATATAAGCATCTGTAATTATTGTAATCAAATAATTAAAAAATAAATTATCAAATTATTATTTAGCCAGCCTGATTAAAGTGTCTGTAGAATTATCATACATTTTTTGTTATAATCTGTATTTTACATGATTTTTACATTTAGCCTAACTTGTTACTTAATTACTTCATTAATTGTAAAATGTTCAAAATGGAGTTTATTCTCCGTTTAATAAAAATAATTTCTAATTTTAGAAAATACTTCTCTTTAAAATCATTTTCTCTTCTGTATAACAATTAAATTAGATACAAATTATAGGAACGTTTGCAATAGGTAATAGACTACTTTTCAAAAATGCTTCGATTTCTAAAATATTATGCTTAAAAAATCTGACAAAGACTCTTGCTCTACTTTCTCGGCACTCGAACAGGAAGTTAAGGGGACCATTAGGAAGTCTGATAATTTTCAATTATACTAGGATTTAAATTACTTTAAGTAATAAAAGATTAGAAGGAGTAATTTTGTGGAAATATGATAAAAAAAAATTACCATTTAATTTAAAAAACACTGTAACATTAGCTCAAAAGTTAAAATTGTGTGTGGCGCCGTCTGTTACGAGACGTTATGGAAAAATAACTTTTATATTATTAATTATTATAAAAAGGCAATAAGGCTTAATTTTGAGGGTAGAGCCGCGTTTTTAAAGAAATTGTAAATGCTAATAACGAATAAAATTTTTATTAAAACCGACTTTACTCGAAATATGATCCATGACCTTCTGTATCTCTTTAATCCTTCGAGTTCTGTACTCCAAAGTTTAAAAGCATCAATGTCTCTTACATACAAATTACCATGCCAAATTTTGTTCCTTAACCTGTACCCCATCCAGAAATAATAAACGAAACAAATAATCCAAAAACCCGGAAGGTTAAATTACACGCGATTACAATACTTTCCCGTGTTACACATATAACATTCGGAAAACTAAAAGTGAAAAATAAATGTGAAATTAAAAATTAAAGTAGCTATAAGTTGGTTATTGCTCTAAAACATATATTCGTAGTACTGTACTAAATCCTCAACCATATGTCAAATTGGACAATTAAAATATATAATTTATTGTTTTATTAAAATAACGTTATTTAATTATTGTGCAGAATATAAAAAAAACATATCTGAAAGAAAAAAATATCAATAAATTGGACTAGAAAGCAGAAAAAAATGAAAGTTTTAAAGTTCGTTATCCGACTTTTTAACTAGATTATTCCCTCGCCATTTAAATATTTTGATAAATAAATAAATCTTTTTTATGCATGATGATCTCATTTTCTTTGAAATTCTATCGAACTTTATTCATTTCGGTCGAACAAACGCAATAATGGGTTATTCCATTAACATTAAATGTATTTTCCTTTAATGAATGCGAAGAAAAACGTGAAAATATTAAATCATTCAATTATTTTTTGAAAATTTCAATTTTTTAATAAGTGTTAAAGCATTAAAGTATCAAGACTTTGACATAATATACTAATTTATTCTTTCTTGACAGCTTAAATTTATTGTCTATTATTTTAAGTTATATTAAAAACAAACTTTAAATTAATTTTTTTTTCTTTTCAGCAATTGGTATGGTATTTATTTTTCAATTCATACAACTAGAAGGTGAGCAATTTTCATATATTATTATTTGTAGAATATGCTTGACACAGTGAGAGGGGGCCAGACAACTCACAAATATGAAGCCTCACCTCTCTCCGAATGTTATAAAAATATACGAATAAAATTAATAAAACAAATAAAAACAGATTTTTTCATTCAATTATCGAATACTTATAACACTTTCAGATTTTTACACGAAGGATTAAATTTCGTAGACCACTGGCGCGTTATCCTATGGGAAAAAAGGGAAATTATCTGTGTGCCCAAACCAATATTTTGTAAGAAAATATATCTCCAAAAAATTTTTCCGAAGAAAAATATCTGAAGTTAGCACTATACATGGGGCCCCCTAATTTAAATTTGTCTAATTTAGGTCCCATGAAGCCTTAACACGCCACTGTCGTAGACCGTTCTGTGTCTGAGGCCCGGTCCAAACTGCCTCCCTTCTCTGGACTTGAGTACGCTTAATATTAAGTAAATTAATTATATATTAGTGTGTCTATACAGTACATATATATGAGTGTGAATTATATATACAGTATTGTAGCAAAGTAAATTTAATAGGGCTAACAAATAAATCAAACTACAGTATTCATATACGTCCTTACTTTTTATAAATACAGTACAAACATTTTTACGACAAAAAATATTTTTAAAATGGTTCAACATGAATAAAACATTTTAAAAATATAATTGAATTTTTGTAAACAAAAATTAAACTTTTTTATTTAAATTATTTACTTTATGGGGACTTTGGCTATGCCAGAGTTTGTGTATATACATGCTATGTATATACAGTCGACCCCCCTATAATTACGGTCCCTATAGTTACGATTCCTATAAAACTACGAAAAAATTGCTACCGGTATCCGTAAAAAATAGTAAAAGTTCCCTATAAACACCTCAAACGTCATCGGGAAGCCGAACTACTTTCCCGCCGTCCGTAGCGCCACGCTACGGAGAGATTTCTATCGTCTGGACAGTATTATATAAATTATATATAAATTAGGTACTGTACATATAATTATATATTAATTATATATAAATTAGGTACTGTATATATAATTATATATTAACTTATTGTAACTTTGTTATAATTAAATATATAATTTCCGCCGTCTAGCGTGGCGCCACGCTACGGAGATTTTTACGCTAACTATCGTCTGTCAGTATGTAAATTAGGTACCGTAAGTCTAATACAGTACTGTAATTTTATACATTTCTTGTGAAAGAAACATTTCTTATTCAACGGCGATTAAAATTATTTATATTAATGATGTCTCCGAAGTTCTAC